TAGGGTACAGCAATATTCAGGAATTTCATTGCTGTTTTGCTGGACCAATCAATGCTTTTGGGGATAAAGAAGAGTTTTCTGGCCGTTTGTTGACTATTGGTGGCAGTTTAACAAATCTGAAAAGATAGTCTTTTGTTTCTGCACAGCCAGAGTGAAAATGTAATAGGCGTTGACGAAAACGACATGGATTATGTTGCTACATTCTCCTTTACACATAGTACATTAAAACTGCATCAGGGTTTTAGCAGGTTTACCGGGTACATCTTGGTCATATTCGTGATCCATTTAGTTGTTTCTAAAGCGTTCCTGATCAAGTATGTCGAAGGGTTTTTCGCTTGACTGTAGGCCTCGATCAATTCTGCTGGATCCTAATGTAGCGACTGGAAGCAGGAGTAGTTTTAGGAAATGTTCTTCGTTTCAACAGTGAGAAAGTTATTTTTTTGGGAGCATAATGCGCCTTGCGGAGCAAGGTGTTGAAAGTTTGCCGAGCTAAATTATTTTTACACCGATTGAGCAGAGCTAATATGCGAATTAGTATGCGTGTACAGCTTTATTTTGCTAAGGCGAAGGGATTTGTATTGCAGTCCGGAAAGTCAGTTTGTGGTATCTCTTGATTATTTCTGATATCAAATCGAGTGCACTCCGTTAACAACTTACAGGCAAAGGTTTAAATAAAGTTTTACCGTTACTTGGTCCAAGCTCTAAGCTCTAGCAAAAAAGGTTCTTGGATGCATCCGAGTTCTGTTTGACGGGGAGTTGGGGATTAAAATAGCTACCTTGAACCAGATCCTTGTTGGGGCTGAGGATCAGTCACCAAAAATTCAATTATCTGAGTGAGTGCTTAATGAACTACATATTTTGACTATTAAATGCCTTAAATGCCCTTGCATTCTTAGTCGGAACTGTTTTTTGTGGACAAATTATCAGTAAGAACTGCAGTAATCTGATGTTCCCATAGGCTTATCGCTACTGCTTTGCGTTTTTATTGTGTAGTTCTTTTAACTTTAAATTTTTTTGTAAGTTATGACGTGTAAGTTTTGAATTCTCTTTTCTGGGTGCAATCTTTCTATTTAGACGGTTCTTGAACCTCAGAATTTCTTTCAACGATAAACAAGAAGTCTCGAGAAAGTTAGTGTGAATAGGCGAGGAGGCGAGGAACGATGCGTCTATGAATTGCAAACATTCTGTAATAGCTTCTACGTAAAGTTTCGCGACTCACAATTGTGAGTTCTTAAGATTAAGAAATTGCATGTAATTAGCTACATTTTTGGCGTAATGAAAGTGTTAGTCAAAGAAACGCAGGCAAATTGCACTGAAACCTTTGGAAAGTGGAGAGTCGCACTAACTTATATATATATATATATATATATATATATA